GAACGGTTAGCGAGATACATATATGTGATCATAAGTGGGCGGTGCCACGCCCATTTTCCAGAATTGTATCATAAGCGTATTTCTTGGAAAAAAATTGTTGCAACCATCAATTTTGAATAAATTAGCTTTATTATTTACTGATTTATCGAGGATTTCGTATTTTTCTAAATTACCGTTATATGGGATGTGGCCGTGTTTATTGTCCGATTTTAAAAATTTTCGGCCATTTGGTATGTTGTAGCAGGACCAACAACTGTGCCAAGGTTGGAAGAAATTGGTGGAGCGGTTACCAAGATATACACATGTAACCATAAGTAGGCGTGGCTACGCCCATTTGCCAAAATTTTCTAATATTCTTATTTTCCGTCTAAAAATCATTGTAAATATCAATTTTGAGTGAATTATCTTCAATAGTTACTAAAATATCGCACTTTTCGTATTTCTGAAAATTACCGTTATATGGGAGGTAGGCGTGGTTATTGTCCGATTTCGCTCGTTTTCAATACCATCCGTCGTATGCCCAAAAGAAGTCCACATACCAAGTTTCGTTAAGATATCTCAATTTTTACTCGAGTTATCGTGTGCACAGACGGACGGACGGACGGACGGACAGACAGTCACCGCTTAATCGATTTCTCTTTTCATTCTGATCATTTATGTATACATTTGTCTATATCTATCTCGATTCGTTTTGCCTGTTACAAACAACCGTTATGTGAACAAAGTTATAATACCCTTCTGCACAAGAGCGCTCGGGTATAAAAATTTTCTCTACACCCGTCCTAGAGTATTCCGCTATAGATAGATGTTTGCGAAAGATTCATATTTTGCTTGGATAAATAAAAAATTTTCTCTACACCCGTCCTAGAATCTTGAGTAATACACTTGTTCCACTAAACTATCTTTAGTTAACGTTTTTTTCATAGTTCGCGTATCTCTACTAATTTTGTTTTGAGTAAATACCGTGTATTTTTCGATTTGACGTAAATAGGACATATTCGTAAATTGATGACTTCCAGAACTTTATTCACATCTGTGGCTTCAAACCGATTTAAAGTTACTTTACTGACGGTCTAAAATGATACAATGGCTTAACACTATGCGAAAGCGCAGCATATTTTTGGGGTCATTTTGATCGAGTTTTAATGAGACTGTTTCCATTCTCTCGTCATTTCATATCCCTTTGACAACTGTGTTAACTTCTATAAATTTAGTTTTAAGAGGATATCACCCTTTTTTCATTTTAGCTTAAAACTTTTAACGTGGGAGCTGACCGAAGTCAAGTTTTAAACATGTTTTTTGGTCATTATTGAAAAATACCACATTTGGTGGGAACATTGGGGTAGAGTAAATGGGTGCGGTTTTTATAAAATTTACTTAATCTAACATAATTTTGGTAAATAAATAAATAAATTAATACTCGATACGGCTTAAGTCTTGCCATAGCTTGCATTCGCTGAACTGTGGATAAACGTTTTCCAATTCTCCCGCGCGATCTTCTGATAAGCCGTTTTTTTCTAATTGAGTTAAAGAGTCTAATTCTTAATTTGATGCGAAATATATTTTTTAATGATTAGCTTACTCCGTTAGTTTAAGCAGAAGAAATCCATTCATTGATTTTCGGAGGATAATTAAAAGTTTTTGGTAGATGTAGTTTTAATTTGATTTTTGACAAATCACCCTTTTTCACTTTGGAAATTCAGCCAGCCTCGCTGAAAGGCAGTTACGGTTACACGGCTATACTCAACCCATGAGCAACCCATGCGCGTACCAATCCAAGTGGAGCCCTGGGTCACGGCAGAAAGAGAGGGAGCTTCGGTGGGGCCACTCCGACTTATTCGGTTTAAGGGCTCACTGAAGTGTGCCACGTCTGTTCACCAGAAGGTGCGGCTGCAAGCGGGTGTCTGTCTTGGAGCAAGCGGCTCACTGTTGATATAGTGTATTTGGTTGCGATACCACCCCCGTCCCAGCAATGGGTTTTGCGCTTGGTTTGGGACCCGCCAAGTAAAAACCCCTTCCGGGGAAGAAGCGAAGAAATGCCTCAGATGAGACCGCCGGATGAGACGGGGAAGTGCCTCTGCCAGGCTGATTGATGTCCTCGTAAGAGCAAAAGCTCACATCATCCATGAAATGCGTTGGACTGGGCAAGGCAAGCAATGCCTGGGGCCTTGCGACGTATACTACAGCTGCCATGTAAAGAAGCGAAAATTCGGTGTTGGATTTACGGCGGGAGAGAGACTCCGTCGCCGAGTATCCCCAGTTCACCCCAGTAGACAAGCGTCCGCATCAAAGTGATATTCTTCAACATCTCGCTCATCTGCGCCCATGCCCCGACGGAAGAGAAGGAAGAGGTATAGAGTTCACGTACGAGCGCTGCCCCGCCAGGACATAAAATCGTTATTGGCGACTTCAATGCCAGCGTGAGCAAGGAAGGGATCTTTGGAACCACCTTCGGAAAATTCAGAATCCACGACGAAAAGTCCAACAACGGACTGGGGCTGATCGACTTCGCCGGAGCCATGGAGGACTAGGTTCAAGCATAAAAATATTCATCAAGCTACGTGGCTGTCTCCGGATCAAAAAACGAGAAACAAAATCGATCATGTTGTGATAAACGGAAGCCACGCTTCCAGTGTTTTAAACGTGCATTCATTCCGAGGGCCAAACATAGACTCGGACCACTATCTTGTTGCAGCCAAGATACGCACCCGCCTCTGTGCAGCAAAAAATGTGCGCCAGATATGCAAGGAAAGCTTAACGTCAAAAAGCTGCAATCACAACAGACAGCCAATTCATTCGCTACACGACTCTCACACCTCCTCTCAGAGAGAGTTCTCTCTACATCTACATATGTGAGCAGTGGAACCACATTTCCCGCTCATTAAGTACCGCCGAAGAAGATGTCGGGTTTCAGCAAGCTGAAACAACGACTGATACCATGAGGAGTGTCAGGAGGCTGCAGAGAAGAAAGATGCGATCGGGCGCAACGCGCGCAATGTGGGACCGCTATAGGGATCTCAAGAGGGAAGCGAGACATATTTGCTGCAATAAAAAGAGAGAGGCCGAATACGGA